CAACACTCCCGCTGCGCCGCTTCCTGGCTGCTGACGGCTTACATGCAAGCTTCGAGGGGGTCGCGCTACTGGCACAGCACACGAGGGTGCAGCTGCGATGGACGTCGGCGGCATGGAGATCGGCGGCAATCGCTTGCACGGACAACTCCAGTGCCAAGCCCCCTCAACGACAAGAAGCCGAGCGACACACAGAGCCATCCAGGGCACCAGCAGTGACGATGTCTCCACTACCACCAGCGAGGCCAGCGAGCCAGCGGGTCCCACCAGTGAGTCAGAGATCGGCGGCAACGGCTTGCACTTCAAACTCCAGTGCCAAACCCACTCAACAACAGGGAGCCGAGGGACACAAGGAGCCATCCAGGGTCCCAGCAGTGACGACGTCGCCACTCCCACCAGCGAGGCCTTACAACACCAGGCGGACGAATGCGGCGAAGACCAAGGCGGCGGCTTCCAAATGACACGGGGAAACAAAAGGTACGGGCAGTCTTAAACACGCATGGTCCCACTCATTTCTATCGATTAGGAAAATCATTGAAAAGCGGGTGCAATACGAAAAACACGCAGAACAACTAAACAAATATCTATCTCACGAAATTGCACCTAAGGGTCTCCGCCTAGCCTGCAACCCCTCAATGTCTACACTAAGTGAAGCAGAAAGGGGGAAGTGGGAAAAAATATTACTAGAAGCGTCCTTGCAACTGACTCGGGTCATTGCGGACCATTGTGAGCGTAAGGCCGCCGAACACAGTGTCACGGAGGCCACGCAGAAATTGGTATCTAATCTCGGAGAGCATGAGGCAAGAGAACTGGAAAGATATGAACTAAAGAAGAGAGGCGAAATTTCAGTAGTAAAAGATAGAAAATTCAAGCGGGATTGCAGTAGCTCCACTGCTCTGCAACAGGAAAATAGGAATGAGGCCGTACAAGAACACCAGGGACCACCCGTACCTCAACCTAACTTTGAGGAGAAAAATGGGAACTCAGAACCACAGTGCAATCCTAATCAAAACATCCTTACTCTCGAATATGACGCTGACACTCCCGTGCCACGTGATAGCCAAGAGCAGCCGAAAACTTATGAGGAAAATGTACTCAATCTGTCAAACACAACACTCACACCCGCTCAGCTTCAACTTTTGTCGAGAGGCTTGACCTTTTGTCCATCATCCGGTAAATTCAATGAATTTGAACTGTACCAAGACCTCGATAACTTTGCGCGTAATCTCCGCCTCCGTGAATACTTTCATGATCGCAAGGACTGTACGAACGAGAATAGAGTGATTGGTGGTGACAGATCATGGTGACCGGGTGAGCAGAGGGACAAACACCTCGATATGTATATATCAGCAGTTCAAAAAGATATCATCAGAGCGTATGGAAAAAATCGGCCATTTCGAAACAACATATCAAAGTCAGAACGAAGGGCACTCGATGAACTACGAAAAAACACTGGAATTACTATCAAACCGGCTGATAAAGGAGGCTGCATAGTAATTCTAAATACGGCGGACTACTTAAAGGAAGGGGAACGACAGCTATCAGACACAAAATTCTACAAAGAACTTCCAACGGACCCGACTCCCGAATTTGAAAGGGAGATAAAAGTAACCCTAAACAATCTCCGCCGGGACGAGAAAATTACCGGCAAAATGTTAAAAGCAATGTTACCGGCCCACTCTGTTCCCGGTCGATTCTATTTACTCCCCAAAATACACAAGGCAGGTAATCCGGGACGTCCGATAGTATCCAGTAACAGCACATCAACAGAAAATATATCAGAATTCATCAATTCCTTAATAAAAAACATCCCCCCAAATTTTCCCTATTACCTAAAGGACACAAACCACTTCATCTGCGAAACTTCAAGTCTCGACATCCCAGGCGACAGTTTTCTGGTGACCATGGACGTCTGCTCACTGTACACCAACATACCCCACCATGACGGAATAGCGGCTATGGTTTCTGAATATGTAAAATCTGACTCATCAACTAGTGTAAGTGGCGAGGTACTGTTTACACTTCTTGAACTTGTACTAAATTATAACCATTTTGAGTTCAACGGCAAGCATTTCCTTCAGGTCAGTGGCACTGCAATGGGCACGAAAATGGCCCCAAACTTCGCGAGCACCTTTATGGCTTCACTTGAAATCCCATTCCTTGAGGGACGCACCTTGAAACCTTTCTACTACAGAAGATACTTAGACGATATTTTTATGATATGGAACCATGATGAGGGAAGTCTTTTCCGCTTCATAGAGGATTTTAACAAATGCCACCCGTCAATAAAATTCACGCACAAAATTTCCAAAACTAGCATTAACTTTTTGGACGTTACTGTCACGGTCGAAAATGACCGCTTGTCAACAAACCTTTACAGAAAGCCTACAGACCGTCAAATGTACCTACATTTCAACAGCAGCCACCCAAAGCATTGCAAAACGGGTATTCCATATTCTCAGGCCTACCGGTACCGAAGAATATGCACCGATATGCGGGAATTTGACAGACACGCGGAACACCTAAAGCACTCCTTATTGAAACAAAATTATCCGGAAGACATTATTGACGATGCCATACTACGTGCTCGCAACGTGAACAGGAATGATATAATTAAGGGACCAAACAAAGTACCTAAAACGACTTCCCAAACGAACCTTGTACTAACTTACTCCTCATCAGCGCCACGAATCAACAACATACTTTCCCGCCATTTCAACATAATCAGGCAAAGCGAACGACTAACTTCTATTTTCGCGAAGCCACCTCACGTGGTGTACCGCCGGGATAAAAATCTGAAGGACATTCTTGTCAGGGCAAAAACAAACACCCCCAAAATTCAATCAGGGTGCCATCCCTGCGGAAAATCTCGATGCAAGGTATGCCCACAGATGCTCACAACACGTGAATCCAAAGCGAACTTCTCGGATTTCAAATTCTGCATAACTGAAAGCCTTAATTGTGACTCCAGTAACGTAATATACATGCTACATTGCAACATCTGCGGACAAGAATATATCGGCCAAACAGACACGCCATTTCGGCTGCGGTTCAATAATCACCGGTACCACGCCACTTCACTGCCGAAGCTACCTTTATCTAGACATCTGCGCCTGCCAAACCACAGTTTTAAAAATATTAGCGTAACTCTTTTGCAGTCCGGTTTTTCAAACAGACGCGAGCGCGAACAGCGTGAGGCATATTTTATTTTCAAATTTCGTACATTAGTAGCCGGTATAAATGAGGACCCCGGAAAACTCAACTGCCTCCGAGAAGTAAGCCAGGAGAAAATTGGTGACAAAGATTGATAGCTGGAGACCATGCTTTTTTCTGACTGACTCGTACGTGTACACTGTCCTCTTCTTTTTTTTTTTTTTTTTTTTTTTTTTTTTCACATGCACATACAAAGTGTTTACGTTCGCCTACCACTTCATGACCATTGAAGGGAAACGGACGAAGATTAAAGGTAAATAGCCGACCGACCCATTAACGAGAAACCTTTCCTTTACACACACCGCCCGCCGCCCGCCGAACGACCAAACGACCAATTACGGGGAAACCCCTTTCTTTAGGCACGCCGTCCCGGACCCTCCCGGCACCGCGGCGACAATCTTGGGTGGCCCGACACACGCCAAGAACTGAACAGCACGTGATATGAACCATAGGTGGATGTAGACGGACAGTTGGCTTCGTTCCCAGTGTCGACAGTGGTTCTTCCTGTTTCTTTACTTTCTTTCTTTTCTTTCTTTTTTCGTCTTTTCTCTCTCTCTCTTTTTTTTTTCCTTCTTCCAGTTCCCTCTCACTCTCGCAAACGTCTTTCAAGGCGAGAGGGACGCGGCAGCAAGGAAGTTCATGTCAGTATAACTCATCCCCTGATGAAGGGAGGTCCCCTCCCGAAACTGTTGGGAAATAAATATATTTATCCTTGTTGACAACGCTCCCGTTGTGATATATCCCATACCTATATATATTTATATATATATATATATATATGCAGAAGAATAACTTCGGTGGCCGCAAGGTTATAAATATGAAAGTAGATGCGCTTTCACATAACAACTGTTTATTGTGCCGACGTTTCGACAGGAACCCTGTCTTTTTCAAGGCATTTCAAGGCCTTGAAAAAGACAGGGTTCCTGTCGAAACGTCGGCACAATAAACAGTTGTTATGTGAAAGCGCATCTACTTTATATATATATATATATATATATATATATATATATATATATATTTAGACAAGTGTCAGCAGCAGAAAAAGTACTTCTGAAAGCAGCGAGCAAATATTTTATTGATGTTATTTTCAAGGACTTTCGGGAAAGTTTTCTGAAAAATCCTGCGTATGGCTAAACTGATCAATATTCGGGAGAAAATCAGCGCCCACCAAACTGGAAACTTCCCAGTGTTTAGGCGATGAGGCAGATAAACAAATCCGTGCAGAAAAATGCTCGTCACGCTTCATTTCTTATATAGCCAAGTAATACCGTCATATCAACATTAAAACACTGCCCTACACAGTTACACGACATCGCGCATTTAGAGAAAACGATATGCGCTTGTGGGGTACACTTTGTAAGGCGCATGCTATATAACTTCCTTTCTTCCAGTAAGAGTAGTGCAGTGTTTAAATTAAATACAGCCAACAATAGCTCGAAGACTCCTTTTGCTAGCGTGAGTGCAAGGCAATCAGAGAAGCAACGCCGCTATGAAAATCTACCGCCCCCGATATTGCGACGCTCTGAAATACTTTTCCGGACCGGTGATAACGTTTGGCAGTTTCCCAGCAAACGTTTGATAAAGCTCGCGCAGGCACAGGGATTCAGTTTGAGATAAACCGGTGTGCATCGCGGTAGCGTATGGAGCACTGCAGAGACCGAACGAGAATCTGAGTCCTGCTTCAGCGGCCTAACTGGGTTTCGCAGTCGCCGCACGCTTATCTCCTGCGGACTCCGCATCTCGTCGAACGCAGTGGCTGGAACGCATATCGCCAGTTCAGGAAGTCGAGTCTCAGACCGTCGCCACGCTTGCCGATGAAGGTAGGTTTCAGCAACTCCTTTTGACGCGACCGAGGCCTAGCTACAGCGTTGAGCAGTTATTGCAGTGAAGGCCGCGATGGGGGAGAGCACAGTCCCATCGATAGATTCGGGTGTCAGCTGCTCTGAAGAAGGCCCTATCAACGATGTCGTGGATACCTCCACCGCAAACTTGCGTGCTACACTGTCCTCGCAGCATCGCGTAAAAAGAGACCTTCAAGCGGTAAAAGCTGGTGCCTTTCAATTTCAGCAGGTTGCCGTTTACGCCGTTCCGTTCCCTCCTTCTGCGGTATCGGAGGAAAGCGGCAGCGATGCTCCCGGATCACTGGAGAGGGAAGCTGACGTTAACGAGCAGCAATACGCAAGTCCCGGCGGTCAGTCTCCTGAGTCTACGCCGGCACTCTTCCCCAGAATGGAAAGTCCTGTAGCCCTGGTATTGCTGTGCTTGTTTGTGTTGGAGCGACGCATCGCTTCCCTTGAGGCAGCCATTGAAGCATTATCTACCAGAGTCGGTGTGCCTTCGCCAAGCATTAGGTCACCAGGTACGTGCCCCTCCACCGAAAGTGGCCCGGCAAGTTCATTTGCTGCACAGTCCCAGTCATCTGTATATCAAGCGGCCTCAAATGATGACGACATGTGTGAACGGTCAGAAGCTCTTCTCGGCACTAACACTATAGAAAGCGTGAATCCAAATCGTTGCCGGTGTCCTTGTCACCGCGATTTTCGTTCCCAAGCACCACCTGAAAGGAAATACACGCAAGGACCTCCGCGTGTCCCCGATCATCGAGGTGAACAAGCACCACCCAGGGGTGAAAGCACATTTTGTCAACCAAGTACAGGCAGTCTATCTGCCATGTATGATTCAAATTGGCATGAGCCACGAAGCAGGCGTCACCAAGGTGTTCACGAGGGACATTTGCATGATTCGACTGCAGCCGATTCTCGTTCAATCACTTGGACGCCTAACAGCCTTGCCCTTCTGGCCAGCCGAGCCTTCGAGCGCGGACACGACGAAGAAGTGTTCAGTCCCGTGTCTCAGATAGCGGGATATCAGGTGAGGCTGTACGCACGATGCGCAACTAAGGGTGGTTGTTCTGTGCTCTCGTTTTGTGCTCAAGTGTGCGTTGGTATGAAGAACAGAGGTGTTTCGCGTCCTTTTCGTGGCACACTGAAGTTCACCATCCACCACCCTACGTGTTCAGCCAAAAGCAAGGTCTACATTGTGCCGGTTTTGCACGAGGAGAGGAATTCTCTAACGAGTGATCTTAGTCAAACGATTTGCCGCCTCACTGGTTTTATTCCAGAGACGATTCTGCGCAGTGAAGGACTCTGGGTGGCTGGAACTCTTCGTGTTTCGCTTTGTGTTTGCACGTAGCAACTGACAACTTTTTGTTTGCTTTGCAATGCTTGTGTTCCTGTGACATGTAGTTTGTTCAAATGATGCCCATTTATCGTTAAGAGAAGTTGAGTTTAACTTTTGGCATGTGGAGACAACTGCCTAAATGATACCTTTCCCCTGCACCCGCCCTCAAAGTTACAATGGTAAAAAACGCATTTTTTATATTTGCCTCAGTCCTGAGAGAAGGGGTTGCGTTTCACCCGTTTAACTCAATGCACGTCACACTAGAAACTTTTTAGAATTAAGCTTCCTGTTCAACAAGCAATGATGATTCCTCAAATTGTCCAGGTGGGCACACCTGAATGTTTTATTTTCATTAATTCATGCTACGTTCTACTTCTACAAGTGATGTAATACTTAGACTGTTATTTTTTACATGAAGTGTAGTTGTCTTCCCAGTACAGTGGTGTTCATGACGTTACTCGAGATGGTTTACGCTGGCAGAGTTGGCCGGCAACAGCTTCATAAGAATGTCTTCTCACATATAGTATGTCTAGTGGCAAAACATGAGAATGACTATGAATTCACTATTGGGTGTTATCTTGTATCGTTGCTGTATGCAATCCATGTCAATTACTTTGCTGTATTATTCATGATTGCAATTTTGAATCTATTTTAAACCCCCCGCACCTATCCAATAAGTCCACGTGAAAATATATATTATTCAGAAAAAAATCAATGTGTAAATTTTGTCGTTGCTGTAAGCATGAAGTGTTTTTGTTTTCAAACGTATCTCTTTGCAAAAGGCACGTGCGACGAAGCTGGTGTTACAGCTACTCAACTTTGAAAGCTCGCGACTGACTATCGAATATCACAGGGAATACTTGCATTAGTACTGTTTCGGCTTCAGTTACAGTTATGGCCTGTGAAACTAGCGCCATTCCAGCCAAACGCTTTCCAAAGGATTAGTTCTGGGCAAGTTGCTGCATTCTTGGTGCAGATGACTGAAGCGAAAAAAAAAAACATTTCGTGAAACAGGAGGAGCAGAAGCTGGCGCTGTTATTTCTTCTCTCCTGCTCCTCCTGTTTCACGAAATGTTTTTTGCGCCTCAGTCATCTGCACCAGAAAAAGGCTGTTTCTGTGGGTGTCAATTGAAGTGCCGAAGCTGTGCGATAATAAAAATTGCTTAGGAGCCCATGCAAATTTGCTTCGAGCTCAGTGCTTAGGGCTTTAGTCTCGTCGGTACAGATAGCAAAGTTTTTTTTTTGCGTCATTTTATCATAGCCGCCAAGAGTTTTTTTTTCTTTTTTTTTCAAGTAAAGACCTTAAACTTCTCCCAGTGTTATATGATTTTCTCGGTCCTAAACGAGCCGATTCCACTTTATTTTTGTGAATTTTTGTGTTCACCATGCCAGCTATATTTACCAAGTATAAATGGCACACCCTAATGCTTGGTATTGACTTTTATGTCCTAGCTGATTCTTCGCTTCTTCACCTCTTCATGACATTAACAGTTTATGCACACTTTCATTTGTTTACCATCGACAGACGTAACAGACATTCTTGCTCGTTTTCTGATGCATCACTCTCTTTTTATCTCTTACTGTTGCTATTTTTCAGCACGTCTGAAATGTCATCTGAAAATCTTTATTTTCATTTGTTGCAAGTGTAGTCGTTTAAATACATATAAGCATACGATAAACAACGTTGGAGTTACTGAATCTTCCTGACAGGCCTCTTTTTTGACCGCCGTTTTCGGCTTTCTTTGTAAAAAACTGTACCTTATTCCGCCCGCTTGGAAGTACATTCTGATGTTACAATTAAGCTTGCAGTGCTCCAAACAGTGTTACTTCCTCAAGTTTTGCAGGTAGACACACGTGAATGTTTCTTTCTCAATAATTTATTCAGTGTTCTATTTCTACAAGTGATGTAATACTTAGACTGTTATATTTTACATATAGTGTCTTTGTCTTCCTAGTACAGTGGTGTTGGTTATGGTGTCCGTGACGTTACTCGAGATGGGTTTACGCTAGCAAAGTGTGCCGGCAATAGTTTCGCATGAATGTCTTTTCGCAAGTAGTCTGTCTAGCTATAAAACATCCGGATTACTATGAATTCACTATTGGATGTTTTTGTGTGTGTGGTCTTTCGTTGCTCTACGCAATTCATGCGAATTACATTGCTGTATTATTCATGCCTGTAACTTTAAATGTACTTTGAACCCCCTCAGTACCTCTCAAATTTATATTGTTCAGAAATAAATAAAAAATAGGTCTATAAAGTTGCCTTGCTGTAAACGTAACATGTTTTCTTTTTAATTTACGAACGTTTACCTTTGCAGGAGGCACACGTGACGATGACGATGCTTCGGGTACTTGGCTTTCAAAGTTTGCGAGTGACCGTCTAATGTCACTGGGAATATTCGCAAGAGTACTGTTTCGGATGCATTTACAGTTACGGGGTCTGAAACTGGCACCATTCCAGCCAAAGACTGTCTGTGAGTGTCATCTCAAGAGGCAATGTTGTACAATTATATAAATAGGCTTAGGAGCACACGCAATTTGTGGTTCAAGCTCAGTGCCTAATGCTTTAGTCTTTTCAGTACCACTAATCAAAGTTTCTTTCTGCGTCATTGTGATCATAACCACCAGAAGGTTTTTCTTTAAATAGAAGCCTAAACATCTTCTAATGATATATGGTTTACCAGGTCCTGAACGAGCAGATCGCACTTTCTTTCTGCAAATTTTTCCCACAATCTCAGCTATGTTTTGCAAGCCTCAACAGCACGTCTAACGCTTGGTATTTATATCTACGTCCTAGCTCACTGTCCACTTCTTGCCATCTGCATGACATGAACCATTGATGTACCCTTTCGACAAACGTATCAGCCACTCTCGCTCGTTCTCTGAGACATTGATCTCTTCCTATCACTTACTGCTGTTATCATTCAGCACATCTTAAATCTCATCTCTAAGTTTTTATAGAATTTGTTCCCAGAGTAGTCGTTCGAACACATTCAAGCATGCGGTCAACTGCATGGGAGACACTGGATCTTTTTGACAGGCCTTTTTTTTTTTTGGTCGCCAGGTTTTTCAATTTTTCTGTGAAAAATTTTACCTTAAATCTACCCACTTGGAAGTAACATTCTGATGCTTTCTAACAAGGGATAACTACAAATAAATAACGAGGTAATATGAAGAGTTCGTCTTCAGCATTTTGCTCATCAATTGTCATGGCTCTGGCTAACAGAGTTGAAGATAACTGTGACGAAAACAGCAGATCAGTGCTAGTACATACCGCAAGCGGCTGCTGTGGTTATCTAGAGGGATGGTGACATATATGTAATGGCGAATTCCACTGGTAGATCCGGAGCGACCGCCGAAATCTTGGAGCGAGCATTCGGATTGCGCCAAGCCAGATCTGCGAGTGGAACACGTGAATGCCGCGTCTGAGATCGCGCCGGAAATTGTTTACACATACGTCAGTAACCAGTCCTGAAATCTTCCTCGACATAGCCGATTAGTCTTCCGTCGAGACTTCGGCCATGCACACGGCGAGAAGGCACGTGTGGCTCGTCCTTGCTGCTGCTAGTAGTGCCTTCGCTGTCGCTCAAAGCAAGAAGCAAGCCAGCAGCAGCACGTCCAACAGCATCAAACAATGCCAATTTAGAAATGTAAACCCGTGCAGAGAGCACCACCTCGTAAAAGAAAAGAAAACGCTCGAGGCAGCAGCAGGCAGCAGCGCTACCCTAGTGAGCCGGAAATGACAGCAGCGCATTCTCGGAGTTCCGGCGAAATTCGTCTCTTGCAAGACAGAGCACGCGCAACGCTCCGTCACAGAGTTAGTTGCTCTTAATCTGCCTGGGAACACGCGAACTTGCTCCGAATCGGCCAGTGGAATGCAGAATCTCGACCAAAAAAAAAAACTTGCTCCCGCTCGACGAGTGAAATTCGTCATAAGTTTGACTGGTTCCCTAACGCCTCAAGCAGCTATCCAGTTTTGTTCATACATTGTTCTCATGTAGAAGTGTTGCACAGTGCCGTAAATTTTCAGTGCAAGAAGCGTACCATTTCGTGTCACTATTGCGTATAAGCATTTTCTTTTTCAAAAGTCAGTAGTGTGCCATGAATACTTCTAGGTAGTGTATTAGTTAGTGTAACATAAATATATCTAGGTAGTGTACTAAACCCATTAGGTATACTGTACTATACCAATTCGAAAATAGCCGCTTCGATTGCAGCCTGCTTTCCTGTTTCTTGAATGCACTCCGAAGTAAAAAACGCATTGTTGATACTTCTCTATATCTAATTATAGGTTTTTACCATTGCGAAAAAATCGTGTGCTTTAAAAACTATTAAAAGTGAGCGTAAAGATGTCAGTTATGTTTGGGGCACGCGAAAAATGGCCAGTCGTTAGACAGCACCCGACGAAAAGGTAATTAATGAAAGAGGCTGCCCAGACGCGGACTAAGCCGTTCTCCTCGGAACGCGTCTTTGTCGTCGAACCACGTGAGCCTTTGTTCACCGCACCTGGTGCTGGCGAATCACCCGCACGGCGGTAGTGCTCTCACAGTGAGCCAGACTGAGAAATAAGTGGTCGCCGTCGCAACACTGGCGCCCAACAAGATAATCTGGCGCCATGGTGTAACAATACTTGTGGATATGCAGCAGAACCGTGTCTACTTAAAGCCCGACCGCTAATGGCCGTCTAGACAGGCTTGTTGTCACACGAAAGTATCATTTAAGCTGTGCGTCGTTGAAACGACGGAGTTCTTCTTAGCTGATGCTCGGAGGATAGCAAAGTGTGGGAATGCAGAGGCGGAGACCCATCTCTGAGGAAAGGGCAGTTGTTTGCTGCATTGGTGGAGCATCGAGTAGGGGTTCGTTCCAGCAAGGCTGTCTCAGATGAGACGGGAGGTATCTAATGAAGAGAAATGAAAAGAAGAGGGTTTTGTGCAGGGAGAACGAGTTCGGGAAGCGGAAACAGAGGTCGTGCTTAGCGCAGACTCTCATACAAGGTTAATACTGCATCGAGAAGCTGGTGTGTATGTGGGGAGTATAAGAAGGTCTCGGCAAGTAACGCTGACGTTGATATTAATACAGGCCAGTGCTTACTGTGCGGTTGGTTTAGTGGCCACCCCGGCATTTGTTTGTAAATGGGTGTCAGTGTTTAAATAAACCGAAGTTTGCCATGAAGTCAGCAAGCAGTCCAGTCCTTCAATATGTCGTCGTGATCATCTGAACCACCGGGATTACATCCATCACCCAATCTTAACTATGTCGTTCGGCCACGAGTAATATTCATCTGTGATAAGGCAAGGGTGTTTGCTGTAGCCGCTGCTTTTGTCGTGTAATATTATTTATTTATTTCAAAGTACCTTACAGGCCCCATGAGGGGCATTGAGTAAGGGGGGCTATACATATATACAAATAAACTGGAAAAAAAATATACAAGACAGACAATTGAGCAGGGGGGAATACATATAGACACCTCAAAATGAAAAAAAGTACAAGAGAAACAATTGAGTAAGGGGCGCAATACTTATATACATCTCAAACTAAAACAAATACAAAAGAAACTATTGGAAAATAATAAGTCAAACAAAAAGCACCAACATGTACAAAAGTTCAACATAAACAAAAGATACACGCATAGTAACCGTGGGCGAAACACTGTATTTCCTGCGCATGCAGCGGCCACAAGGCAGAATCCTCGCGCACATGAATGTGACAATCACAAAAATGAACCAATACGGACCAATGAATTATGATACGGCATCTACTTGCTGAGGCATATGAAGTGGCTTCATAAGATATGACGGAATGTGTCAAAGTTTGTCTGGGATGCAATGTCACAGAGTTAGTTGCTCCTAATATGCCTGGGAACACGCGAACTTGCTCCGAATCGGCCAGTGGAATGCAGAATCTCGACCAAAAAAAAAAAAACTTGCTCCCGCTCGACGAGTGGAATTCGTCATAAGTTTGACTGGTTCCCCAACGCCTCAAGCAGCTATCCAGTTTTGTTCATACATTGTTCTCATGTAGAAGTGTTGCACAGTACGTAATTTTCAGTGCAAGAAGGAATTTCAGTGCAAGAAGGGATTTCAGTGCACTTGGGATAGATATAGGACTAAATTGAACGTACACGTCACCATTTACTCTAGTGTTCCATAAATGCATAAATGGGAGCACGCAGTATTGTTTTGGTCGTGCACGTTTTCCAACAGCTGCTTGTACAAAATTAAAGCCGTACATCTAGGGAACGGTGAAACTGAAACGCTCACACTGGCTTCAAAGTATTCTGTTCTCTGAGGCGTGGCCAAGGCTGCATTTTCGTGCAATTGTTGACAACATACTGCAAGAGACACGACAACGCACGTTGAGGAAAGGGCTCCCAAGAGACAGAAACGTTTGACAGCTTCAAGCCCTGAACATGAACTGAAAAGAACAATCAAGAAGCTCAGCTTGTACCCAAGACAATAAAAGAAAGGGCTAATATTATCAGATATGCATACATATTGACGCGTTGATAGTTATGAAATAACTCTAAATGTGAATAAATTATATATTGTTGTTCTTAAGGGGCAGTTTTCGTAAAAACGCTGTCTATGTATCATGTTTTATCTAGGCGTATTTCTGTCTATCTATTTCGCGAGCATAAGTGTATATTGTGGTCCTTTAATTAGGTAACTGTCATAAGTATATCCGTAAATCCGAAAAAACTGCAAATACAGTGATGCGTCATGTTCGTTTTTTTTTTTCGCTAGTGAATGCATGTCAGGCGAACTAATTGTCTGTAGAAAAGAAAAACAATAAGTTTGCGAAACTTTTAGAGGCGCAACATGGCGCCATTTTTCTACGCATTCGCTGATTCCTAAAGGATCTAACTTTATATAAAAGTATGGGTCAAGTTTACACTGTTATGTATGCCTACAACTTACAGCAGTGCGTGTTTCGCTAACCCCCCTAAGGCGGAAAAAAAACGATTTTATGCTATGAGGTGTTGCTCACGTGCTGTGCAACCGTGTCAAGAGGTGATAACTAGAGAGACAAAAAAAATGTTCCTCTTTGATTAGCTCTTCGAGTGGACAGGTGGAAAAATCGAAGGGAAGCTGCGTGAACAAATATATCGACTGACGCCGGCCTCCTTATCGCATCTTCTGCAAGGCTCGACGAGAAACGTCTTTGCGGCCGAAAGCCGGCTGGTGGCAATCATGCATCTGCGGCAAGTTGACGGTCGAAGTGACCTGTACAGAATTACTCTGAGGAGCTTTATTGTAGCGTTACCTACACTTGCCTCGCTGAGCCAATTTCGCCGGGCACTGGTCTGCGCATGCGCAATGATACTCCGCCGCCGCAGCGCGCGGTTCGCCGCCGGTGTGCGCGCCTTTCGGTTCGCTGCGCAGACGATCAGTGGTGTCATGTACCGGAGCCGGCACCTCCCTCGCACTCGGCCGCCGCTGGTGTGCGCTTTCCAGAGAAGGGAATGAACAAGAGGGAAGGTCGAAGGTCAACTAGGCACATGCTCAGTTTGCTACCCTACGTTGGGTGAATGGGAAGGGGGGCATAAAGATGGCACGCAAACAAGTGCCTTGTATTAGCAAGCCCTCCGTGGCTTTGTCCGAGAAGGATCTCGGATTCCTTGAAGGTTTCGGTGCGCGTAGGCAGTTATATAATCTTTACCTTTCTGTTTCATTTTCTTATAGATTTTTTCTTTGCCGTTTTTCTGTGATTTTGTTTTTGTGTTTTTTGCCTCTGTTTTCCTCTTACTCATGTTCTGCTCTTTGTGCCATATGGTTTTGATCACATGGTTACTGTCTCCTCTATATATTTTCGTGCTCTGCGCAATAAACTCAGTTGGAAGTTAGCGCTCGTGTCTTTCCTGTCCTTCTTGTCTCTGTGTCGTCGTTTTGTTCTCGCACTATACTATCGTCATGCTGTACCAACTAGCCCAAGCTTCCACACTTCTAAGTATTCTGTGCCTTGACTGTGGCACGTAGTCATGGTCTCGCATGACACGCAATTCATAATATCATGTTTTCACCAGTCAAATGCCTTCGTCATCCATTGGCGTCACGTAATACCGAATTGGGCATATGTAAACCTAGCGAAACGGCCGAAAGCGCATCATGAG